CCTGAACAAGAATAAGGATTATAAAAACTGCATCAGAATGTTTGTTAGTCCCAGAAGAGTCAGAAAATGCCATTTTTTACAGATATGTGCCACTTGCTTCATACTGTGTCTCATGATTTTTTGGGTACCGTTTGATAATCACATTGTGAGCCATATGAAGTCCTATTCCTACAGATACCTCATAAATAGCTACGAGTTTGTGAATGACAGTCTGTCTATCAGCAAGGATAATCTGAACAGAGTATCAAGCTACCAATACTTGATCAACCACAGAGAGAAATGTCAGCAGCAGGATGTCCTTCTCCTCTTGTTTGTGAAGACTTCTCCTGAAAACCGTCATCGAAGGGATGCAATTAGACAAACTTGGGGTAATGAGAAGTATGTTCGTTCTCAACTTAATGCCAACATTAAAACCCTTTTTGCTTTAGGACAACCAACAGATCACCTGCAGAAAACACAGCAGCAAAGAGAACTTGAGCTTGAAGACCAGAAATACCAAGATTTGATTCAGCAAGACTTCCTGGATACTTTTCACAATCTTACTCTTAAACTGCTTTTGCAGTTTAGCTGGGTGAATGCCTACTGTCCTCATGCCAGGTTCATTATGTCTGCAGATGATGACATATTTATCCATATGCCAAATCTCGTTGCTTATCTTCAAAGTCTCACACAAATGGGTGCTCAAGATCTCTGGATTGGTCGTGTCCATCGTGGTTCTCCTCCAGTAAGAGACAAGAGTAGCAAATACTATGTTCCATATGAAATGTACCAGTGGCCCTCTTACCCTGACTACACAGCAGGAGCTGCATATGTAGTATCAAATGATGTAGCAGCTAAAGTCTATGAGGCTTCATTGACTCTGAATACAAGTCTTTATATAGATGATGTTTTCATGGGTCTCTGTGCCAATAAAATGGGAATTGTACCACAATATCATGTATTTTTTTCTGGGGAAGGAAAGGCTCCATATCATCCCTGCATTTATAACAAGATGATGACATCTCATGGACACGTAGATGATCTTCACCAGCTCTGGAAGCAGGCTACAGATCCCAAAGTTAAAAAGATTTCTTCAGGGATTTGGGGTAGAATGTACTGCAGACTGGTCAATATTGTGCTTCTCTGTAAACTGTACTATGTGGACACATATCCTTGTTCAGCTGCGTTTTCTTAATACTTGAATATCTGCATTGAAGATCCACTGAGCCAAGACGGAGCAACAACATTTTAGGTGTTTATCCAACATATATGTAAACAGGGAAATGAGGTAAAATTTACATGTGAATATTTGGGGTGGGCAGAGGGAGAGGAAGAAGACGGTCCCAGGGTCCCAGATTCTGTTCAGAGACTTATTGGAATAGCTCTCCTGTTGTACTTCAACTTTTTACATTTTAGTCTGCTTTTTTACACTCTTCAAGGAATGCAAGTCTGGATTATAAGTGAACTATAACGGACTTGACTTCTAGACTTTGAAATGCTTGTTGATAATATTTGTTTCTTTGAGCTTGTCAGTAAGTCTTGACTGTTTTTTTGAAAGCTATGTGAACTAAGGCATGTGGCAAAAAAAAAATCTGTTGTATCAGAATGGAGTAGACCTTTCAAAGTATGAGGAAAGTGTAACTTCTGACTTGATGAATGTGACTATCACAGTAGTTTAAGGTAGTGTAAACTCTCTACAAATATTCATCATTTCTCAATGCTTCCAAAGTCAGTCTGCACAGCTGACAAATAGTCAGAGCTAGAAGTGAAGACCTGCTACAATTGTTTTCTCAAAGCTCCCTAAATCTTTGAAATAGAGAAACAGTGTTTGGATGCCCTCTCACTTGGTGGTTTGAAGTAGCAAAGAAACCCCCTTTAGAACCTGAAGCTATAAAAAAAACCAAACACTACTCATGTGACTGGTTGGGCTAATATTTCTCTGTCTTCTGAAAACTGAATCAGAATATTTTAAAAATCCAATCTTTAATAAGCAAATAATTTAAGTTAGTTTTCTAGTATTTATGATTTCCAGTATTCTAGAAGTGAAAAGCAAGTAAAAGTTCCCATGAATGTTACTTAGAGCTAGTTAAAGACTTAAAAATGCAAAATTTCATACTTGTACTAACGGAGAGGGAGGGTATTTTCTGTACAAACTTTGACTTTCCATTGAAGGGATAGAGAGATGGTGATTCACACAAACTGACTACACAAATCATAATAACTAATATATTTCTCCTGAAGTCAAAATTATCTTTAAAATTTCAGGGTTGTTTATGTCCACAAGCCCCTGTACCTTGAATATATCTCAATGTTAATATCACTTGCAAAGGAACAAAATGCCTGTGTTTTGTAGACCAAAACAGAGCTAAGTGATGTGCAAACTGCAGCCCTTATGAGTTGTCCTGTGGTGCCATAAAGATGCTGCAGAGAACCAGAGTTGCAGGCTGCCTGCAGTCCTTGCACTGCTCAGTCACGGTGCTTCCACAGACTCTCAGGACAGATACCTTAGTTGCTAATTGCCAAAAAAATTGTACAGCTAATTGCAGCTGTACAGGACTTGCTAGTTTAAAGCTGTGAGTAACAAACTTGGTTTAACTAACTGCTACTGCTCTTGGAGCTGTGCTGCAGGTTTTCTGGTTTGAATGGATAATGGCATCTGTCAGTGCAGACAGAATCCAGGAGTGAGCTTGCTGACTGTTCTCTGAGCTGTTCAGATGGAGGGTAGGTAGCTACTGGAACTAAGCCAAACATGTAACTTTCTATAATTGGTTTTGCAAAAGGAATAATAAGATTCCTAACTGTTCCCAAATGTTGAGCATATAAAGAGCCTACAAACAAACCATTTATCGGGGTCAGAATGATTGATGAGTATAACAGCTATACTTCAGAAGGAACAAATCTAGTTCCTTTTCTTGCCTAAACAAATGGACAATAGTTCTGGGGATGTAGACATATATATATATATATATATCTGTTGCATACAGAGAAAATAAATGCACATATAGAGAAAGTATTATTCTATATTCATCAGATTTCTAACTTGTTGTGAGCCATTTAAATCAACAAAGCTGCACAGCAAAACTGCACTGCTAGAAAAGCCACCCTGTTCACTGAAGGGAAAGAGGGTCTTCATATGCAGTATACAACCAAAATATACTAGTAAGACTATAGCCTTCCAGCATACCTACCTGCTGGGATTTGTTTTCACTCATACATGCAGAACTAAAGTAATCTCTAAGTAGCTTTAACCAGCTAACATCTAAAATGCTGCTTAAATGTAGTTGCCATTGTCTGAAAGTCACTTTTGACCATTGAAATACTTCGTTTTACAGTTGGTTTGAGCTTTGTTTGGATTGTTTCCTTAATCTTAGAAGGGCTTTGATGCTTGTAGTATGCATTTTCTTTTGCTGCAGTGAAAAGAAGTTGCTTGTTGAGTAAAAAGGAAAGCATGAAGGCACTCCTTTCAAAAAATAGAAGATACATAGAAAACTTCATATTTTCTGGTTCTAAACACAAATTAAGACTTGTACACTTCCATCAGGAATCTTTTTTAACAATAGTCTCAGTGCTCCAATGCAGGGCTGATAGGTTTTAGTTCTACAAATAAAACTGTATCAGCCTGAATGGTCACTCCTCATTAAGAGTTTGACATTGTTGCACAGCATATTTAATGCTACTTTTTTTTTACCCGTTTGTTTGGTTTGCATCAGTTTCCCTTTGATATTACTAATTTTTATACAAAGTATTCAATATTTATTCTTAAACTTTGCTCTGTACCACAGAAAGACAGTTGTTTTGTAAAATTTGTTTTGAATAAAAAGACTTATTTCTTTTAAAAAACCTAAAGAATACAGAAAAGGTAAATATTTCTTGTTGCTTTCTTTGTAACTGACATGATCGATTCTGAAACTTTTAAGTGTTGTTCTGAGTTCCTTTTTACAGGAGGACTTCAAACTCCCCCTCATTTCCCCCTGCCCACGGTGTGTGTGAAAGGCAAAATTGGTGTTCCCAAGAAAAGAGCTCACAAATTTGTTTAGCAAGCTTCTAGGTCTAAAGCTGTATAAAGTTGCCACGTATTAGAAGCTGAACCTGTTGTCAATGTTGTAATTTGTATATTCTCTTCAGGCAGCCATTCCCCTGGAGATGTGTATCTGTCTACACAAGATTTCAGATCATACTTTACACTTTTGAAAAAGTAGATGATGGTCTGGAGACCAGACATGGTATTTTTATAGGGTATAATTAAATTCAGATAATTATGATTTGTATAGCTCTCCAATTTGTGTGACATAATGTATCAAGTTAAGGTTTTTACGAATTGAGTCATTTGCATCAGGTAACTCCAGTGTATGAGACAAGGGCATAACTAAAGCATGAATTATCTAAATGATAGTGAAGAAGAGAACAAAGGAAATGAAGTCAGGATTGTGGCATTTGCTTCCTGCAGGGTGGGTTTTCTTGTGAGTTTTTTGTTTTTTGAGGGTTTTTTATTTAATTGTTCCCTTTGGCCTAGAAACTGCAGTTCAGCTAAAATTGGGTTTGCTTAATACTTTTTGTTGAAGTAAGTGTTTTAAGTATCTGATGCTTTAGAATGCATCATTAATAACATTTTTCTCAAGATTTTAAAGAAACTCGAGCTTGCAGTTAAAAAACCCAGAAGCCCCTCAGAAGTATGCAGTGAAATGTGAATATTCTGAACACTATGAGAGGGAGGATCTTTTAACACCGAGTTTTTTGTAAATTCTAATGGATTCTTCTCTCATATCTTGTAATTAAGGCTTCTAAGAGAAAAAAGCCTGTAAAAAAGCCCCAACCCAAACAAAAGATAATGCTTATTTGCTTTTCCATCTGATAGACTCGGTATAAATGCATGGCTGTAAGCATTTCAGTGACTTCATTATTGCTAATTATTTATTAATCTTTGTGAACTTCAAAGAGGTTGTAGAGAATGTACTACAAATGCAATAATTTGCATTCTAGGAAGAAAAAAAATACATAGTGGCTCATATGTGCAGCCTTACCTCCTCCTCGTTGACAAGTTCTCATCACTTTCACTGGTCACCAGGACTCTGCTAGATCCTCCTTGACTGGCTTCATGCATCACTTCAATCTGAATGAGAAGGACATGTTAAAACTGAAAATACTTCATTGCTGATTCTTTTATTTAGAGAACTTTAACTCTTTGAAAGAGTAAAACCCAGATCCTACCTAACCTAGGAAGTCACCAAACAAGTTCAAATAATTGAATTCTAGATGTGCAAAATATCTCTTATTTGTATTCTCCATCCTTGTTCAATGTTGGCATGGAGGCACTCCTTACTCTAGGCAAAGTCATCCTATTCTTGCACCACAGAAGGGGAATTATCTCCTTGTGCAGGTAATTACAGGCATAATAATCTGTTCCTTAGACTCTGGAATACTATTTTTTCATTTCCCATCTGAAGCCAACCCAAAGACTTCACATTTTCAGAGTGCTTTGTAAAATGCCCTGTGAAGAAACTTGGGAATCCTCCACGTGCCTCTGAGAAGTGTCAGTGTCCCAGCAGCAGTGTTGGGTGAGGCAGTGCTGAGCACAGGTGCCTGTGCAGAGCCCGTGCCCAGGCTGAAACAGAGCTTTTGCACAGCTCCCAATGGTTGTTTTGATAAATACTCACACATTCCCTTGTCCTGTCTTGCAGAGCTGGGTCATTTCGACTGCTTTCCAGGCAAGTTTTAAGCAAGCTTTTCCTCCTTTTGCCTGTGGCTTTAAGAGCACCAAGCACTACTTGCACTTACTCAAAAGCCAATCTCTTCAAATTCAGTTAAACAACCCATCTGCTGAGTTTACTGTTAATCCAAGCCAATATCTAAATCCCAGCAGAATCCAAGTTCCTGAGCACTTTCATTTTTAAGGGCTGATTCTTACATTCTATATTGCTAAATTATTTAACTGGCTGATGATAATGATGGAATCCAGTAATGAACTGTCCTCATCTGAACTATTATCAGAACAATGGGATGAAAGGGAGGGGGGCATAATTTGCAGTGTAGTCTTGGGAAGTGATTTAAAAATTAATGAATGGATGTTTTATAAAGCCTATATCACATTGCTGCATACACCTAATCACGTGGGAGGACTGCAACTGATTACCTGCATTACTGGTGAGTGTAAAACCAATTCTAAAATCACTTTCTGTGACTTGGTAAAGGGAAAACCACCTGTATGTTCCTGCTGATAACTGTGTTTTATTCTGTGCTTATTGCTGAAGCTGTGAGCTGGCCATTTCAGAAAATGGATTGCATTTAATTTTTACTTTCAGCTTTAGAGGAATAAAGATGAAATGTATGAGCAAGTCAGGGGTGTGGATAACACAAGCTGGGTTAAAGTAGCTTGTCCTTATCAGAGAATTAACTTAGAAATGTTCCATTTTTAAAAAATTCCAAGTATAGGCATGTAAATCTATATTTATGTGGTTTTGAGTTCTCTCACAATATGGGATGTCCCCAAATTACAGGTAATCCTACCTTAATTCCACCTTTTGTCTTCTTAATGCTTTTCTTTTTTGATAACTCTACTTCAGAAACAGTCTTTGGAGGGCAGGAAATTTCTGTAGACCTCCTGTTGGTAGCTGAAAGAGTGAAAAAAGAAAGTAACATTAGAAAACGTGGTAAAAGTTAAAATTTTGCTTCCTAATAAAAGCAATAAGCAAAGTCATAAATGAGACCTGGCTTAGAGAACTGATCTGTGCTGGAGCAGTGATGGAATGGGTGAAATAAGTGATGGTTCCTTTGTTCCTTTGCTGCACTGTGTCTCAAATTGGCATCTTCAGCTCCATACTGTAAGGATTACTTTGGTTTGACTTCCCCTGGGAAAACCATCTTTAGGACAGCACAGATGAATGTTAGCCAGCTGTACCAACTTGGGCAATTGTCACTTGCATGGTGTTGCTTGTGTGGGTTCCCAGGAAATTTTGTTTCTGGTAATGGTTTGCTGAATGATGTTGGAATAAAGGATTGTTCCCTGTAATGTTTCATTACATGAACAATTGTCAAAAGGGTAATCACAAGAGGTCAGCAAGGCACAATGACAAGTGTGTAAGGACAGAAACTGAGGATATTATTTCAGGATATGCCCTGTTGTCAGGTTTGATGGCCTTTGCAGGCTCTGAAAGCCCCAGCTGACACTGAGGTATCTGAGGCTACTGGACAGTCATCCTTAACAACAGAACCATGTGTGCTGAGTCTGCTGTCCAAAGCAAAGGGTTATGAGAAGGGGAATCATACTTTTGGCTTGAGTAGAAAATAATACCTGTTACAGCTTTATCTTTGTTTTAGATTCTTAATGAGTTCACAGCACATGCAAGTACAAGGCCAATAGAACTCTCCCTTTTCTTCATTGCTGAATTGATATAGGCAGCCATTCATGTCATGGGTGAAAATATGTATGAAAGCTAGATGAAATGCTGAAAGAATCTGGGTCAGGCAACAAAGAACAAAATCGAGGTTAAGTCCTTTTTTTTATTCTGGCAAAACTTTCTAATTGAAAAAGCACTTTTTCTAAGAATAAAAGCTGGTGTTTTCAAATGCATCTTGTTTAAGAGGGTTTTGCCAAGTTTATTGTTTTGTAGTGTTGAGTCTTGATAGTCATTAACTTTTTCTTCTTCTGGAGAAACTGAGGGGTACAGTTAAAAAAGATGCAGACATCTTTGAATGAGGAGGACATAGTATAAAAGGTTTGATGTAGGAGAGGTCTGAATACTTTTTAAAAAGAAACACCTTAACAAAGTTTTAAATGCCCTTGTCATTATATTCTTCTTTCAAAGTAGTTTTTAAAACGGCAAAAAGAAGCACATAGAAGCACCCCAAATTATATTCCGTTAAAAAGACAACATTTCAGTTTCACAGACAATAATAATGGAAGCTGACATTTCTCCTACCCTGTATCTTTTCACAGCCTTATCACGCAGCTGGGCAAAGAATTAATTAAAGCAGCCATTCTCCAACTCTTCCCTAAATCTTCTTGGATTTATTCAATGCTGAATGACATAAGGACTTGGCAATGCCCATTTCATGCCTGTTACCTCCTCACAATGACTCCATACTAGAAAGTTTCCTCAATGAAACAGTGAAACCTGGCAGTCACCAGCAGCTATAATCGACTGGCAGAGAATTCTTATGGTTCCCAGGACTGAGATGAAATGCAAATGTCTCTTTTTGGCTCTTCCATCACTCTTTCAGAATATACAGCAGGGGATTTGTTTTGATTTTGAGCACTACTTTCAACAAATACCTTTTCCCATCCCCAAGCAAGCTTTCCCTGAAGTAGTATTTATTCTCTCAAAGGTATCTGTATTTCACCAGAAAGTTGTGCACTGACATTTTGGAACCAATGCAACAAAAAGATGCAAGAGGCAGCACATGGAAACTGCTATGATTGTCAAACTTCTTCATACTTTTCTAGTCTGCAGGGAGGATAACTGCTACTGTTGGCAAAAGCAGAATGTTTGGTAAGTTTTCAAATGGGTCCTTTTATGTGTTTTGCCATGAATCTCTGGGTAAAGTGTCTATAAGCATCATCAAATTCACCCTTTTCTGTATTGATGCACCTTGGAGATTGTATTTATCCATAAAGTGTCACCTACCACAGTCATGACAAAACCAGCTGTGATCAGACCTATAATACTAAAAACTGTTATCTCCTGGAGCTTCTCCCAACTATATATACTATTTACACCTTGAAAAATCTGCATAAAGAAAATAGTTCTAAGACTTGGCTATCAAAACATTGCTTCATAATCTTACCCACACCTGAATACCCTCGATATGCTGCCAGTGTCTAGCTGCCCTCTCTAAATCTGAGTTCAGTCCAGTGGATTGCTCTACAATCTAATTCACAATTCACAATTTTTATGGATATGTTGTGTAAATAAAGGGAAGTAATGGAAATAACTTCAGAAAACACGAGGACTTTCACTTAGAAGAGCACAGTCAGCAATATCAAGTTTTTTGGCTTATTCATTAATCAGAATATTTTGTAGCTTGAAGGGATGGTTGATACTGGTATGAAAACCCTTGTTGAAAGCAATCAGCAGAAAAAGTGGAAATCAGTTACAACTTTGATGTCTGGATCACAACTTGCAAGCTCAGACAGCTCCAGGTGATCCAGGAAAGAGAGCACAGGGCAGTTTAAAAGAAAGATGACACATTCACAGGAAGCCAAACTGCAGGTGCTTCTTGATCCAGCAGCAAATTACTCAGGTCAGTTCACAATCTGAATCTTCAATTACATATTTCAGAAAAGTAGACAGGTACAAGATAATAAAGCAGTCAAATTCAACTGAGTCTATTTTGGAGATGAATTTGATTCATATTGACACAGCAAACTTCCCTTTCCAATTTGACCCAGAAAAAAGCTGCTTTAGTTATGCTCTGGAGAATTTTTCAATTATTGGGTGGCTCATAGTCAAAGACTTCTACATGTCACTGCATTTAAGTAGTTTCTGGAGCAGTACAGAAAGAAACAGCCCAAATACCTGCCAATTATTATTGCACTAATTACTGTGGAACTGGAAATATAAGGGAAACTCCCTTATAAAATTCAGTACAGTTGGCTGTTTCAAGGTACAGTATTGCCTTGCTGAAGAAGCTGAAAATTATAGCGTTGAGCTGCCTAATGAAAGAATAAAGGCACAGGAACAAAGCAAAACTAGAAATGATCTAATGTCTGCATGGTTTCAAGGTTGTTTTCATCCTGTTGTTTCACAGTACTCCCCTGGATGATATATAATGGTGATTAATGAATTTATTAATATTTTAAATTGCTTGATTCTGCTTTTAAAGCAAATATTGTGGAAGTACATTTTAAAGCAGAGTTTGGGTCTGTCAATTGTATTCACCTGCAGCACCACTATACTTTCCCAATGGGGCTTTAGTACTGCTGACTTTTTTTATGAACAAGTTGCACGACAAACATGGAATCACTGTCGTATTATTTAGCCTACAGAAATTGGTAAAGTGGGCTGTACTGTCCCTAAAGTTGCTAGAAAATGGCAGAGACTCGTGTGCTCTGTTTTGCTTTGCAGTCTCTCCACCCGTCTAAGACTGAAATAAATCCAGTGAGGGAAACTTGCTGTGCTGCTTGTGAAAAAACTGTGGTTTCCTCCATTTCACCCCTGCTCCTGTGTGGCAGGACACAGGCACCATCTCTCAGGTGCTGATCTCTTACAGGAGGGCTACAATCCCCACTGAGGGACAGACAGAATTTTGGGCAGCTCTCAGGTGCTCAGAGACAGCTGGATTAGTTCACCTGGGTAAGTGGCCCTAAATTAGCTCGTGCTGGATTAAGTGTAACTCATTAGCTGGCAAGAAGCACAGGCCATAGTCGAGGGTTAGGATACATACTCAGCACCTGTAAGGTATTCCAAGCCCCCCTCAAGTAAACACCACAATTTACATTCAGGTTTGGGGGGAACTCCCCCATCACATGTTTACCCATCTGTTTTCTGTATGGGTTTGTGCATTCTCACTAATCACCTACAGCAGAATCAAATTCCTTTGGCAAGAACAAACATGGAAACAACTAGTCTGCTAAACTTTATTGGGGCTTGCTGCTCATGCTGTCCAACAGGAACATGAGTTTGAAGATAATTAGTGGCTTAATTGCTGTTTTGAATGCTGGTGATGACAAAACAATGTTTAGGCAGCCAAAGAAACACCAGAGCAGCTATGGTTTGTCACTTAATGGCTTAGGGCAGAAAGACTTTGCCATTCTTAGGCAATATAAATTAGACTTCTTCACTGTAGCAAAATTTCTGTCAAGCTCCCTGAAAATCTGCTGATGTAAGAAGCACAGAGTGAGGTTCTTAGACATGGAATATTCTTCTACAAGGAGACACTACTTGGTTTGCTCAGACTGGCCCAAATGTAATAGCAGTCCCACAGTCACAAAACTGAAAGCATCTTTTCTTTTTTTCAACTTCATAGATTCATAGGTTCATATACTGAACCACAGAAACTAGTAGTTTCTAAAACCATTCATGGAAGTCACATACACCATCTCCTCTGAGTCAGCTAACCTCTCCACCGCCTCACTTCCCTTGCACACATCCCCAGACTCTTGCAAGAAATTCTTCTTTTATCCTCTGTCCAGATGTTATTAGTTAGTGAGCGTTATGCACTAGTGACTGTGAGGAATGCTGGACTGGATCCAATGAGCAGTTGTATACATTTAACTGAGATGGAACCAGCTTAAATTTTATTATTTAAAGAACTGAAAAGGATCCAGCTGTGTTCCCCCCTTATCAATCTTGTGTTCCAAGTTGGCCTTCTAAGATGCTTGTATGGTGTGTCATGAGAGTCAACTCTGAGCTGCCTTTTTGGATCCTCACTAAGCTAAAAGATTGTGGAGAGTCACCAGAAACCCTAAGGACATGAACATGAAACTGTGACAGTCATTTCACTGACAGAAACCTGCCCTTTGTCTGCAAAGCTGTGCCTGTGTGCAGAAAATCCATCCCTGCCTACATATTTATCTATGTAAAATGGAGAGTCTGACAGTTACAATAATGGAGTATTTAATGTCTGAGCTTTCATATCTGTGAAGATTTTTCCATTAGCACCCTGAATTGGACTAAATTTTCCCTACTACTCCCTGTTAGGAAAATGGATAGTCAGCAGGGATGAGCAAAACAAAATCTATTCTGGAACAAATGTAACTTATTTTTCTTTCACAGACCAACTACCCCAGTGCTGCCATGGTATTGTTACTCTGCTGCCTGGGGACAAAAGCCTTTCTCTCTGGTCTTCTATTTCTGTTCACCACATTTTATTGCCTTTGCTTGCCTGTGTATTTGCAAGTCTAGGAACATGGTATTTTCCTGTTGTCATGTTCTATTTTGCAAGCTTTTAGAAATATTCAGGTATGTCCTGGGTAACAAATGACAAATGAGTTACAAAACCTGTTTTGAGAAGGTGCTCTAAGCTTCTTTCAGGTTTCCAAGATGTTGCTCAATAAACTCTCCCCATAAGTAAATGCTGACAGTGCATTGATGCCATGAATGTGGAGAAAGGACACAGGGGAAAGTCCAAAAGAGGGTAGCTTCAAGAAGAGCAGAATTTCACTGCCTCATTTTCAAGCTTGGAATAGGACTCAGTGTCCCTGTTTCTATTCTCAGACACGTTTCAGAGTCAGGCTGTGAAACACCTTGGTGAATTCCTCAGTTTATCTGGGCCTCAGTTTTCTTTCTGAAAAAAAGAGGTTAAAATACTGACCAGTACTTGCCAAGTGCTTTGGCATTCCGAAGGAAAGGGCATTCTGGAATTTTAAAATATGATTCTTTGTAGCAGACAACTGGATAACACCAAAATGATTTACAAAGAATATGTGAATATACATGTACTTTTCATGGCTGTTAAAGTCACTGACTGTGAGTCCCTGGATGAGCTGTAGATACTCAGGCACTCCTGTTCCTTTGTACAGAGGTACTCTCAGTCAGTCACCTTCAAGAATTTGAATGGAATGGCAGAGTCTGCTTATCAATGTCTGAACAGGACTGGGTTGCACTTTGCACCTCCTCACAACCAGAGTAGCATTTTAAAATAAATTTCACCTACCTATTATTCTGCAACAGGACATTAAAGGCTAAGCCTTGTCACACAGTTTTCCTGTACTGGGTTGTATAACCATGAACTGCAATTCAAAGGACAGAGCAAGGGAGCATCTCATGACTTTCTGTGAAAGAACTGATAGTATTTGGGATGGGCTGTATGAACAAGAATCAAAACTTAGAGCACTGTCACAAACTAGTGACTGTTCTATAAGGTTCTATCTATATCAACAATTTAATTTAAAAATCTGCAAATGTACTAAAATGACAAGAAAGAAGTTCAAGAAACAGTTCAAGAGACTGCATGCATAAACAGAATGGCAAGAGTAGCTTTTAGCCTGAAGATGCAGTTTCACAGTTGAAAGCCATCCTAAAACAGTGCTGCCACTGACAGGAACTAACTGACCTACTTACCCCATAACCCTATTTTCTGCAACTTCCTCTGTTTCAGCACTAGTAGCCATGCAGTGAGCATTCTGATGAACTCTGACATTAGTGCTGCTTGGAGCAGGTGACTGGGCTGTGTGATCTCCCTGCATTTCTCTAACTCATGCAATGGAAAAAGAATTACTACCGTTTTGCAATCTGTTTATTCAGTTTTCAAGTCAAATCACAACTCCAGCAAACTGACTGCCCACCCTCATGCAAGAGGGGAGCACAGTGCTGGAGAGTGTGTGTGTGGCAGAGCAGGATCTATTCACAGGCATTGTGTTCTCAGCTTGCCTTAAACCAAAAGAGAAGCCAAAACCTGAGGTAGGAACTGTACATAAAAACACAGCTAGCATGGTTTGGGGGAAAAATGTACAGATGTCAAACCAACATGGGAATGGGAAGATGATTTTTCTTTGGAAGAAAGACAAATGTTAGGGAGCAGAGGAGAGCAGGGACATTGGCGTGACTTTCTGCTGTTATGCCTAGAAAGCAAAATGGTCAGAATACTGGCCATCCTCATCTTCCTGTTGAGAAAGCAGCTTAATGAATGCTTTTCATGCAAATTAGAGGGTCTTTTAAAAGTCTTTTTGCCAAAATTTCCCTATTGAGCAGCCCTGAAAGTTCCAAAGGGACAACACTTTCCTGCCACCCAAGCACAGGGTGGCCGGTCTCCAGGATATACTGTTTCCAATTAGCTTTGCCCATATTGCTTTTGCAGAAAAAAAAGCTATTTTGGTTAAATGCACATGCTAACCTCAAAGGAGGAACTTTCAGTAATTTCCAAACAGAAGCAATGCTCAGCTTCCATGGTTAGCAGGGGACAAAGCAGAAAGTGAGCTAACATCTGTGTAGAGAGGGAAAAGCAAAAAATTCCACATATGAGTCAGTGTCACTCACTAATGAACCCTTAATTTTGCAAGCATCTGATTGAAACTTTAGTAATTATGACACTTAAAAGCCAAATATTCACCCTACATTTCTGCAATGCTTACATTGCAGGCTTGCACTGACTACCCTGGCTTGGGTATTTGAGAATTAGCAATACAAGACGCACTGAGACAAGGTATAGAAATGTACTCTGTAGATTGGACTTAGGAAGAGAAACCTGGTGGGCTGTTTAGATTCACCCTTATTTGTATGTTTGCAGTGGGAGATATTTCATATTAATTTTTACTAGCTGGACCTACAAAGCTGACACTGCACATCAAATTCAAGTCTTCATTCTGATAACAAAAATCAAACATGACCATGTGGACAAAACATTGGGGTGAGTCCAAAAGCAGCTGCTCATGGCCTACCTACTGCTGCTGGTCTGGTAATCTTTGGTGATGCTCGCTTGGGGGAAGATTCAGGATGTGGAGCAACAGGTTGTACTGGCCTGGTCTGTTTGGCTGCCAGCTTCTTCAGACTTACTTGCCTCTTATCAAACATTTCTTGCACATCTTCGAGTTTTTGTACAATTCTTTGGGCATTGGCCTTGACAAAGAAAAGGCAAACAACAAATGGTTGTCAGCACTGGACTGAGAGAGTGAAGAAAGGATTTGTATTACCAAACTCAGACTAGAACTGGAGATCACACTGTGCTGCAGTTTATTGCAGTCCATGCATTCTGCCCAGATCACAGTTTCACTGACCAACACATGGTGACTCAAGCAGTGCTTCTAGCACTGCTGTGAATAAAATGACGTATGTGTTGCATGACTACTCTTATGAGTAATACTGCCACAAATACCGACCTCTGTCCCCTTTTGGAGTGGGGAAAGAGGCATGTTTTAGCAGACTCAAATATATAGCCCAGTACCCTCTCATGGACAAAGGAATCGGAAATTTTTAACTTCTAAGTAAGCACATGCACATCTGAGAGGTTTTACCTTTATTTCAGGGGTGAGGATCATGTCAAACTGATTGTAGAACTCCTTCGGGTTGGAGAGCTGGTGTTCCTTAGCTGTAACCAAGAACTTCTCAATTTCAACGAGTGCAGTTTCAGCTCCCTCTTGTGACTGGCACTTGTCCACAGCTTGGGAAGCTAAGAGGTAGATTCCAGCTTCACACCATTGGCTTGCCTTTAAAGAAAAGTGGGGGAAGAAGGACTTATCATCTCTGACAGTCCAAGTTGGCAGGCATTGTTTTTACTCTATGAAAACCAGATTTGCATTTTAATGATATTAACATGTCATTAAAGTGGATCAATGTTACTCATAGCATGCAGCAGTTCCTGCCCACAAGTCACCCCGTCAGCATATGCAGAATTTAACTTGCTGAACTAATGCAAAGCTCAAATATTTATACTAACATTTATTGAATGAAATGGAGAAAAAACAAATACAACTTTTTATCTTCATTGCAATTACCCGAGCTTATAAAATCTTTCATTTTTAGTAGAACCTTGCCAGAGCTGTTATCTGAGAAGGTTCACTCACCTTATCTAACTGCTTATGCAGCTCAAGAGACTTTCCCAAAATATCATACTTTTTCTTGGTCTCATTGGTAAAGTCATCACAAATCCGCCTGAGTTCAACACACTTTGGTCTAATGGAGTCAACTGCATAATGGTTGTTTTGGATGAGCTGTTCTCCATGGAGAGCTAGAGACTGGGCCTTCTCCAAAGGTTCCTGTGAAATTGGTGAGAAAAAGCCAAAGTTAGAATGACATGCATAATGATGTGACAAAGAAATGTCTAGAATACCATGTCTATAGCAGCTAGAATACTAAATTGAGTATTAGTGCAAACCTGTCCTTTCTCTTCCAGATGTTTCTGTTCCTTTAGGAGGTTCTCAACTCGAGTCACACTGTCTCCAATGTCAGCAAAACCTGCTTGTGTTTCCATGAGGTTATCCAATGTCAGTTTAACCTAAAAAACAGCAACAACAAAAACATAAAACCAAAACAAAATAAATCCACCCCAAACCCCATCACAAGATAGTGATAAAAATTACAACAAACATTCACTATGCCTTTGAAAAGAGTCTACATCTCAAATTTAGTCTTTCAGCTTGTTCCAAAATGGAAAAGCCAAGGAATAAATTAACAACCAACAATTTTTCAAAGAGTCTCCCTGCTTGTCACTAATTAGGCCCACAAAGTTCTGACAATCTCTAACTCCAGAGTTTATATTATTCCAGCATCTATATTACTCCAATCTCTGGGCTGACAGTTGGGCTTTCTGTACTGCAGTCACTTGACTTTGGTGGAATTGGCAACTTGCCATCACAGAAGAATCTATGTTTGATAACTTCACACCTAAATGCAAAATTATTTATCAAGAAATTCGTGCTCCACATTTTGGCCTCACAGTCTGGCAGTTTCTTCACTGTGCCTTATTCAAGTGTTGTAAGACATCTGAAAGCTGTCAAGACTTTAATTTTTGAATATTCATTTCCTATTTCACAACAAAGGTCTTCTCCCCCAACCTTCTTTTTGGACTGCCAGTATACTCTAAGTATGGGTAGAATTGGACCTTATTTACCTGAGAAGGCTAGACAGCATGAAAAAAGAAATACCTCTCTAAAATCGTGCTCAAAGTGTCGAAGCTGCAGGCACTGTTCTAGTTTTAGATGATGCTTGGTCCAAAATTGATCAAAAGCTTTTTCTGTTTCATCCAACTGAGCCAACAACCTGTTAAGAAATTATAATGAACAGACTGTACTTATTTCCTGTAGTTCATTTCTTTTAAGTTATAGTAATTGATGGCAGAAAGCAGAGCAGGGAGATGGTGGGGAGCCCTACACTTATGTAAGAAGGTTCTGTGTCACTTCTCCCATAAGCAAAAATTTTAATAAGAATGAAATTTGCAGTAGGTCAGGCAGGGATGTGACAGATGGCTGACAACTAAAGGGATCTACTGTGGCAGTTACAGTGCTGCCTCCTGATGTGCAAGAGGGACTCGGAGCTGTCCCATGTGCAGGCAGCCAAGGGCAGCTGTCACTCCCTACCTTCTACCCAAAGCTTCAAAGATAATTCATCGCCATCTGATGCAGATTGAATATGATGCAATTATTATTTTATGGAATGATTAAAACAGAACTCTAAAACTTGTTAATTTTCTTCACCCATCAGAAATAGGCAAGGGCTGAATAATTTTTCCCAGTCCATTAAAAGCAATAATTAGAAGCTCATAATGACTACCGTGGACATTGTTTTATTTTGTGTAAATGATGAAACATTTATTTGGAAAAACTTTAATCTCAAGGTGTCATATCTTCAGTAAAATATGACAGCAGTTTACTGAGTCATCCTCACAGTTTCTCAATGATCCATTAACTACAAAGTAAAACAGTTTTAAATAAGTAGAAAAATGAAAAGGAAGTGTTCTCTGAATATCTTGTATTTCAGTAGATGGGCATTCTTTGGGCAGATAAGGGATCAGTGAGTGCTGAAATCATCAAGTTTTTGGGGCAAATGCCAATAGCTCCCTCCTATTCTTCTCAGAAACCGATTTCTGTTTTCAATCTGTCCCTGGAAAACTTTTTTTAATCAAAGCTAGTCATTGAATTCAAGATGAATACACAAATTCGTTTAGGATGACTGTTCAAAGGATTTTAAAGTATTCAGTGAAAAATATCAGGTCAGCTTTACTTTTAGCACCTTTGTACCCAGTGAATGCAGACACTGAAACCCTAGCATGGCATTTCTCTTTGCACTGCATCACATGTCACAGCAGAAACTTCTATGTGGTGACTAAAAGCTTTATGGTAATAACTAGCATTGTAGAAAGGAAAAGGGGGCACTCTCTCTGTGCCTCTGCAGCTGTGACACACAGAATGTTTCAGTTATCATCTTCATCTCTTCCTCCCCCAGTATTTCCACAGACACACAGAAGCACACCACCCTCTCATCTCACAGAGATTCAGGTGCCACTTTGTACCTAGGCACAGAAGTTTGGAAGCCATACATGTTATGGGGAAAGAAAGTCCCACATTAAATCTTCAGGTAGTTAGTGGTCTGACCAAAAATTACCAAGAAATTCAGGACTTATTTTAACTTGCCTTGACAGTTTAATCGAGTAACTTCCTCTAAGCCATTCCCTTCTCTGACTTACCTGTCCAATAAATCCTGAGCAGGTGAACCAGTGGTAATTTATAACCTGCATATTTAAATTATTTAAATTACATTTGCATCTCCTAGGAATTAATGAACAAGTTGCATAAGGTAATCTAGCTCCACTGACCTTTCCACTGTGGCCACATTTTCCAGCTCATCTGGACTGAGTTTGCTGTTGGCACTTCGGGTGACTGGCTCCCGGATGCATGTCAGTAAGGTGGCCCCCTGCTTCACTGCTAGCTTCAACTCATCCTGAGGGGAAAAAACAAGCCAAAAACCAAATTGTATGTGCTTCTAACAACACTCACATCTCTTAGATGACAACAGAGTAATGATAAAGGAAGATTCTTTCATAGATACAAAATACTTGAAACAAAATATAAATGCTTACCAAAGGTGATATGTTTTTTAGCAAATGCAGAGACCTAAATCTTTTAACTTTGAATAGTAGATCTATTTCTGAGAAAAGGAATAGAGTAATTTGTGAGCAGATTGCATATCTGACCAGGCCACTTGCAGAATAAATGATTCTACTACAAATTGAATGTATGCTGTAGATTGTGAGCTGAGAGACTGGGTTGAGACATTGCATTTCCTTATGGAATTTCCTCAAACAACATTGTGCCATGCTGAGCCATAGTACATCAGCTATAACAATCATCCCCAGAAGTGTCTTTCTAGCATCAAAAATGAGTAATAAAAAAAGACAATGAGGCTCAAACATTAACTTGTCAGATGGCGAATCCCCACATCATTGCACACTTTTTCTATAAAAATTATTCTTGTGCTGACATAGCTTAAGTAGCATTTTTAATCTTGTGTTTAACCTAAGGCATTTTTTGCAGCAGTAATATTTATTTCTAATCCTTACACTGCAAAGCTAAACTAGCCCCAACCTTTTTTTAAACAAAACAACAGTTATCATCTAGTTAGATCATTCTGTCTGTTCCTGACTATCCTCACAGATGTGCTCTGTTTCAGCTTCAATATAAGTTCATCCTTTCTGATGAACTCTTTATCAGGAGCCCATGCTATTCCAGATGTGATCCCATTACTCCCACTCACAGTGGAAGTGACACTTCCCCAGTCTATCATTCCTGAAGCTGTAAAATGTCCTTTTCCACAGTTGAATTGCATTGACTTCCTGAACCCAGGTGTCTATCCTCCTCGGTGGTTTCCAGACAGTGGACTGCCAAGTGGTGGCAGAAAATTTTATATGATCAGAACTCATCTATTACACTGCTGGAGCCATAATGGGACAACAATCACCTTCAGCTTGCTGTGGTGGTCGGTGTGTGAGGAGAGAAGCTCCTCTGTGCACTGCACATCATTGGGAAGTTCAGTCTCTGCTAAGTCTGTTCCAAAGGTCTGTAGCATCTGTGCTGTTGATTTTACTGTCATTGCAAAGTTTTCAATAGCCTGGAAAAGCAAAAGCATAATGTCACAGATTGGTTATTCACCCTTACCCCTTTAACAGCACTTTGGCTTCAGGCACACCATGCTGCAAGTATGACATGCCTATAAAGCTGGTCACATTTCCTTTTTTGGGGTGGATGTGCTAATTACAAATTAAACCACGTGTCACAAATGACTTTTTCACAGGTCCACACATTTTGTCACCTCCATGAGCCAACGGGGAACTCCCAGAGCTCAGCAGACAAAATGAAACCACAGAGGACATCAGCTTCAAAGCCAGGGCCGGAACTTCAGACCCTCTGCCCATGCTTGCTGGGAAATTCTGCTGCGTTTGAAATTTTAATTAAGGCTTTATTTAAGTTGAGAACACTACTAAAATATATAGGGCAAAGCCTTTATATTTTTACAGCCATTGTTCACTCAGCAGTAATCTGTCTTCTTCTGACTTCTGAATATGTGCATCTTCATCTTGCCTATCTGTATGAGATGCATTCTAGTCACTTCCTCCCATCTGTCCATGCTAGTACACAAAAACAAGAACAAGCAACTACAAATACAGTTAAAATGCATAAATTCATTGGAATTTGCTGTTTCTTTATCACTTGGGTACATCAACACAAAACTTGTCAGAAATCTGTCATTTTAATGAAGGACAGGGAAATGAGGAAGGCTACAAAAACAATGCCACCTTCTCAGAGCAGAATATAATGTTCAGACCTGTGACATGTGATTAAAACCTTTCTATTTAGTAGCAAGTAACTGCATGGGATGTTTTTTTCATGATCATGCCCAAGTTTGGGGGTAACTGTGTTGTTCTGTATAGATCTTTATTCTTTGTACTTTTTAATCTAACCCGCCACAGGTTTGAGTCAGTAAACAAGCACTGGGAATGCTCTTACACCCAATCAAACACTATGTAGTTGTTGTATTTTGCATTCCTTTCTCCAGCAGTGATGGGAATTCATTGTTTGTAACCATGACAGAGGAAATTATGCTGTGAGCTTAGTGAAAAACAATCTGGAGGTAGATCATCATTCAAAAGGTGTAGAGAGAAATTAGCCCACATTTGGGATCTCAAACATGTCCCCCATGAAGGAATGCTAGCAGAGTTCACAGCCTTCTTCCCTTTTCCCCCACAAATTTATGTCTGCTTTCGATACAAGCAGTACAGACCCACATATGCTCTATCTCAGTGCTCAGCAGCTGTATCCTGCTGTTCTCAGCACTTAAACTACTGGATTAGAGTTGGCTGAAATGTCACACTTCTGGCTGCAGCACAGAATGGCCATCCATGACCAAAGGCCATTTACTGAAAGCCAAAAATGCACTCTATGGGCAAGAAATTCCATAGGCTCCTGGCAGCCAAGTGAGGAGAGCAGAAACAGTGAACCATGCAAGGAGGTCACTGTGTCACTGCCATTTAGCCAGAGTTTTAAAGCTTTTTCAGAAGAGAAGCACTGGCAGGACAAGATATGAGAACACTGAGAGAAGCAGCAAATGACGTGAAGACCATAGCTCAGCAAGACTGGAAGTCAGATTGTTTCAAGGTGCCATGGAAGCTGACACTTCCCTGATGACAACCTCTTATCCAGCAGATATTCCTTGGCTGACTGCACCATGAACTTGGCAGTGTTTCACTTAATAGTATGCTTGCCCCCACTCTCTCCTGAGTATATGAGCAATAAATTGTTACATCTGTGAGTTGGTTTTTTTCAAGTCTCTGTGCTTGGTAAAAAATTTTCCAACAAATTCAACCAAAGCCTCTGGGGATTACACAGCCCTACTCACTTAAATTCTTGGCTCATTGTTGCTTGCATAATTTACCAAATTATGTATTATTACTTTATGTAAACCCCTGTCATTAATAAATAATACAAACTTTCTAATGCCTTTTTTTATTCCCCTTCAAATTTTCAAACCTTTTGCTGTTTGAGAGCAAAGATAGATGATTCATTTCTTCACACTCCCCCTTCCTGCAAGGACAGTTTCATATTGATACTTTTAACACATATGCCTGCTCACTCATCTCAGCCCTAACCTCATTATAGTCAACACAGTTATAAATGTAGAAAATAAATGTTAGATGAAATTCAGATTCTATGTTTGCATATTTAGAAGCCTGAAATATTTGGTGGTTCTCAAGGAGGCTAAAACTTTATTTTATAAAGACAGCAAAGCAAAAAAACTATAGCAAGAAAGTAACAAAAGTGATTTGACTTAAATTACCTCAGAAAAGCTCTTTTGATGAGTTAGGTGTAACCTGCCCATCAGCAACAACAGACTTAAACCCAGGGCTGCTCAGAACTTTGCAAAACATTAAGACTCACATTAGATATGGGCTCTAATATACCAATCTTGCAAGTAGACCAAAAAGAGATATGCAAACATTGTATAAACTCTCTGTGAAATTAATTACTTTTCCAGCATCATGACCCAGATTAGCCCATTTTTGCTTAGGAAGAACGAGACAATATTTTGTCTGCTAATGTACCATAGTTCGGAGTCTGTTTTTTGTAAGCTGTCATCTTAACTGGGTACCATAATGAATTGTTTACATTGTTTTGAAGCAGACACTGAAATACATTAACCAACTCAAAAAGGGAACAAACAATCAAACATGTACAAGTTTCCTTGTACAAATCTTTCTGCCTTCCTACTAACAACTGTTCTTCAGTTATCCAAAATAAGACCCAGCTGGAGTGCATGCTTGTACAGCATAGAAATGCAAAATAAAATATAGAGACCTGAGTATTTTTATTCTCTTAAAAGCATGGACATAATTAATCATTAAAATGAGACTTCTGACCTTACTTTTGACCTTTGTAAAGTCAGCAAAGTGTTACAGCCTATTTTCAATTCCAGCTGAAGGCCTATGAATCCCATCAAATATTTAAAAGGCAAGAGAATGTGCCCACAGGCCTTGCTGAGTAAGAATACCACGACACTGTTAGGCCCTGGGCCAGGTACACAGTGACATACAATTACTGCTTTCATGACAAACTTTTGGAGAATTTGTCATTCTCTGTTTGAGTCATGGATTTCCTCTTTCCCTGAGTCCCTGGCAGAATCCATAGGCTGCAATGCAACTGAAAAGTTACTGTTTAATGGCTGTTTTGCATGTGTCACCTGGAGAGCTGTGGTGCAGGTGTGTAAGAAGAGCAGCAGCACTCACAGTTCGGTGATGGATCCACTGGCTGTGGCCGTACTCCAGGGTCCCTCCCAGCTCCCGGGTCAGCTGGCTCTTGTCAATGTAGCCATGCAGATCAGAGACAGAATTTAACATGATGATCTGAAACAAATCCAAACACACTGGACTGAGAGAAATAACGAGCCTTTCAATCATTCTTCCTAGGATCTGGGTTTGCCTTAACATATATGACCACTGCAGTTCCACCAGAGGCCATCAGTTCTCATTTTGCATTTTATCATGCCATGGCCACAGTTTATTTTCCCTTGATTTTGCCTTCTCAGTGTGTACATGGACATTCTTGAACTAACCTTGGTTTGACATCATCTTCTTCCTTGCTGAGCTAACTTGCATTGCATGTGCATCAAGAACAAAAGTATGGTATTTATAATGTAGACACAAACTTCCAAAAATAATTTATTCTCTAGATAACATTTATTTATAGAGAAATGGAGGCACAGGCAAATTAAACAGCTTCCTCAACACTAACCACTTGATCCAGTGAAGTGCTGAAATGAAACCACTGATAGTAAGATTTTTCTTTCAGTTTTCTGATTTTTTTGTCACTGTATGTTCACTGAATTCACTGGCATTTTTCCATTTAAGATCATAATGGAAGAGAAAGGAGAGATAAACCTAGATCTGATTTTTTATTTTAGAATCTCCTCACAACTAGACTTGCTTGAAGAAAGCCAAAAAAGATTGGAGCTCAGCTTCAGATAAGCAGCATTACCTTTTGGCAACCACTGTAAATTTGTCAATACAAGTGGTTACACAAATTAAAATTCTTAAGTAGGCCCTTACTCTATTCTTTTTTGCTTCCAGCAGTTCATCTTCTCCTTGACCCCTGTCTTTAAACACAGAAACAAGATCTTGTTGATGAAGAAACTGTGGCAAAGAAAGGTATCTCAGCCAAAGTTAAAGGAAAACTGTTCCCTGAATGTGTTATGAAACACTGTTCTGTTATGATCAAAGCCAGAAAGCTCAAAAAGCTGAATCATCTTGAAAGGGCCTCACACTGGAACATAAAGTCTATGCACTAATTCTGAATTGGAAATCACATTTGAAAAAGTAAGTCTTAACTGCTTTGTAGCTCTTCCCCATCAGAGATGTTGCTGACAAGTTGGAAATTTTCTGATACTTCAAACCTTACTGAAACCACAGAGGAACACTGTCATGCAGTTTTCTTTTAGGAAGAATTTTATGTTTGCTTTAACCTGGTATATCCAGCATGAGCCATAAAACAGAACTATTAATATTACCAGCTATGGTGCTACCCAACAGGGCGTGGGTCTTCACCATGCAGGCATTCCTGCAGGAGAAAGCCAGATGAGCAATCCAGCATCCATCTGAAAAACCAATCTAAGAGACCATTAGCATCTACCATGCTGCTTGCCAGACAGAAGACAGCCACAGTCAGTCAGCTGGAGAGTGCAGGGGAGCAGCAGTTTGGAAGAGAAGGGTCAGAATGGAACATGGAGCTGCGGGGGTGCTGCTTCTGGATGGGTTGGGCTGTCAAAAACAAGTCACAGCCTACAAAGCTCAATGAAGTGCTTGCTATGGGCAGATTGTTCAGCCTTTTATGGATGTTCTAAAGATGCTTTAATTCACTTCCTGTGATGGGAGATTCCTTGAGTGCATCTCTGGGTGTTCCTTTTGCATTTACAGATTTTAATCTCAGATGAACCCTGCTGTGTCTCCTATATTTCTATATCTCGATCCTGGTTAATGATGTTGAATCAAATCATCATCCCAATAAAGATTTACCTCATGAGGTTTTATTACCCACATTTGTATGTCAGTGTGATATAAATCCTGCATTTCTTTTTTGTGTCTGGTTGGGTTTGAGAGCCTTTATTTCCAGCTCCTGTTTAAGCTTCTGATTTCTACTCATTCCAATGTTGATTTAACTCAGTAAATCTATTTGGTTGAACATATTTGCAGACTGATAGCTCAAATAAACTATCAAACAAATGTTTCCTTAACAAATGCACACAATATTCTTGGAGCTCCTTTTGAATACTCATGTCTTGGTCCTGACTCACACTTGTGAGAGGAAATGCCACCCATCCACGGGCCAGTTATGACATAATGTTGTCATAGGGCCAAACACACACCACGAACAAACAACCTGCAAGCAATTTAAAGGATTATGGTGATATTAAAGATAGGTATTGATCCCTAATTCCTTGAGTGACGACATCTCTAATGGGACAAGAACTCTCTGGTCCTGTTCTCCTGCTTGGCATTTAGGATGTTGCTTTCAAGGAGGACAAAGAGACACTGATCTCAGCAACTTCCCTGCTCTGGAACTGGGGTATACAAGGACATGCCCAGATGGTATTTTTAGGATGGGCTGCAACACAGGAAAAAAGCCCCTCCAGAGAGCGTGACAGATCCCAGGAATTTGGAACACCTATAAGCCTAAGCAACCTAGAATAGCTCAGACATATGTGGGCAGCCTGTATATATTTCTGACAGATATCTGGGCAGGAGGCAGGCAGATCCAGCAATCGTGTCATGCTCTTAGTTTTTGTAAGGCTCCTCTCTAAGAGCTCTGTGGAGATACCCAGGATGGCTCAAAATATCCAAGACAACCCCAAACAAAACTGATATCTTGATTTTCCTGCCTGTAAGAAAGATAAGTTACTATTTCATACTTAATTAAATAGTGCTTGCCCCCTGCCTAGAGTTAACCTCCCTTCCAACCTTGACCCCTTTGAAGTTTTGAAATGCAACTCCGATGTCAAATAAACTGCTAAAAGTATAGGAAATGCTGAACTGCTGGAAAAGACCAGTCCTTGATGAAGTTGTCCCTTTCCAGGCTGCAGCCACTGGTACAACGGTTGCTATAGTAACAGATTGTGGAATATTAAATATAGGTACATCTATTTTTAAAAGTAATATAAAATATTTTGGTTTGTATTCAAACATAAATTTATTTCATCCATTTTGCATTTTACCAAAAAGCCGCCCTTATCCAACAGCAGTAAATGTTACAATTTAATCATAGCAACCACATGTATGTTCATGGTTCCTTTTCTGTATGCACTGTAATAAACAGCTGCTGTCACTCACTTCAGGAGAAGCAGAAAGTGTTTAAACACCTGAACTTCAAACTTGAGTGTTGACAGAGCTAGAATTTGTTGGAAGAGAACTATAAGTATTTTGCAAAACAATATAAACCCACAGAACAGTAATTTCAAATCCCTCCAGTAACGTCATTGTGAAACACAGCATGAGTCTGATCAAGGATGAAATATCATCAATAATCATAATTCAAGTTTATTTATAAAACTTTGACACACATGCTAACATGCTGCTAAAAAATCTCCTAAAAAGCCTCTCATAGAATAATCTGAAACTCTTTCAGGATGGATAACCTTCTTCAAATCACAGTCTCATCAACCTCCAGCATATGCCAAGTGCATATAAAAATAAGCAAAACAGAGACTCTGAATCTTGAGGGCACAGGAATCATAATACATTCAGAATAAGAAATGTTACAGGGACAGTCAGTGTATAACCCATCAAACAGTGCAGAATTCAGCCCTAGGCTTTTGCTGCTGTGCAGTCCTGGATACTCATGTTTGTCACTGGAGTGGGATCTACTTCCGCCTACACAAAGGGGGACCCCTCTACTGAGTTAAAATGCCAGTACTTAAAAACCGAGTCATATTTTATAGCTAGACTGGACATGGGAATGTGTCCATTAATTACTGTGAACCATCCACTGCTAATTAACTCTTTGGCACCACCATACACACACCCGGATGAAAGGCCCCAGATGCCACTTGCAGTCCTGGGTCATGAGAAATTGCTGAGAGCCCAGAACTGCAGAAATGGAAATAAAGAAAATGCATGGACAAAAAACTGCATGCTTACCGGTACCTTCATTTTAAAGTCATCTCGATAGAGTTTAATGCCGATGTCAGCGATTGCCCTTTGGATGAAGCGGGAGGGTCTCAGGACAAACACCAGCTGCAAGTTTCCTGGAAATGCTCCCTGCAAGAAATACTGAATTCTTAGAAGGCACATTTCTACCTTACAAGGGAATAGGACTTACTGAATCTTGCTAGGTCCAGCTTCTCATTGCATCAGCTGGTCTATTCAGCAAGTGCTTGGTGTCACTATTTCCAAACTCAATGGGACGACTGACCTGTGGATTTTACTACCCAGCCACATGTAGTTTTGTGACACAGATTTATCACAGAGCTCCAAAGTTCCTGACAAGTGCCTTTCTTCCCCTGATCCGAACCCCACCAAGACCCATTTGCACCACCTCACCAGAGGTTTTCCCATTTTTTGGTTGCAACCACTAGAAGGCAAAGCTGGCTGCCCACGTTGGACTGGTGGGGGAAGCTGGTAGCACAGATGGATTTCCCAGGCTGACCTACCTATTCACTCTGCAAAGGGTTTTGAATCTTTTTAATGCCACATATTTTTACACACAGGAACGCACTTAACACGTTTATCGGACATGGCCCTGCCTGCAACACCCAGCCTACATTTCTTACACTCCTCTGAGCTTATCAAGCATTTAAAAAATAACTATTTCTTGAAGAGAGTAGAAAAAAAAGGCTGAGAATGAAAACCATTTCTGACTAAATACCTTGAAAGAACTTAAAGTCGCCTTTGTCATCCCTCCATCCTACACCTCTGTGTCTAAGTGTTTGGTCCTCACAGAGTAAATGCTCCTAATAAGAGATGTATAAAACCAGCTGCTTTTTTTAGCACTGAAAATCAGTGCCCAGCTATAACTTTTGCAAATGAGATATAAGCTATTAAGAGTCTCTGACAGAGATCATTTACTGCTGTGCAAACACAAATCACTTGGGATCTATTTCTTTCATAAGCAGGCCACGTCATCCCTCCTCAGGGCACAAAAGGGGTACCTCTTAATACTCCTCTAGGAACCAACTTCAAATTACTAGAATTTATATTGCAGTCAACCCAGAAAATAAGGAAATTTTCCTAATTCAGTAGTAAACAAGTCTATGTAATTTGTCTCTGCAGCTTCCTCCCTCTCTTATTTAACACTTGCGAGCTGCAGGGCCGGGGAGAATCTGCATCCACAGCCAGAAAATGGGAGCTTAAAATGAGCACAGGAAGCTGTATCGTGTGCTGAAGATTCAGTAGACAATTTTAATTTCTAGAAGATAAATAACAAAAGCAAGCACTTACTGCTATTCGTGTCAGGGATGCCTTGACTGCACTCCATTTGTCCCGTCGTCTGTCTATGATGATGATGAATCCGATGCTGGCAGCCTCCAGACTGCAAAACAGATGAAATAGGTGTGCTGGGTTACAGGGAGAGACTCCCGTTGCAAGGCAGAGAACTGCAGCAAAACACAGCCTCCGTCACACCACGCTCCGAGCCCATTATGAAAACACAACGTACAGTGGAAAGAATGAATATTTGGCAGAAATGCACATGAAAAGGAAAGCCAGCAAAATTTCTCTTTCCAGCATAAGGCTAGCAGCTTCCACAAAACATGAATATTTTATCTGCTGAATCTCTCAGCTGCTGTGCTACTCTGCTGCCAGCATAGGTGACATAAATAGTTCAGGATCACAAATTACACTGCTCTTTTGAAGACAAAACCCCCAGACCCTTTTTTTTTTTCTGCAAAATTAAACATCCCCCTACAGTCTTCATTCTCCAAGTATGCTGACACCTGACAGGGGCACTGAGATCCAGGGCATCAGTATCCTCTGACTTGTGTACACAAAGTCCCAGGAATTCTGGTAGGCAAAGCAGAAATTGAAGAGTTCTGTTTTGCCAATGACAAACTTGTTCTGGGTTTGCAAGTCATTCAAAACTATCCTTTTCAACATATTAGCTAGAATAACAGTTCCTGTTCCTTCTCAGTGCTTTTCAAGAAGGATCTAGGAGGCAGTGATTTGGTGCTCCATTCCACCATGTAGACCTCATAAATACCCTATCCTCTCTTCCCTCTCAAAAAACCCACTCTGGAGTGCAAGGTTACAGTGGGACTGCTCTTCTCTCTGCCTTCCAAGAGCACTCAGCATTGGAGAAGCTAAGAAGTACACACTGAGTGTCCAGAAACTTCACAAGAGCAGGAGGCTCAGTCGTCTCAGGACAAACCAAAGGCAGGCAGGAAGAGTATAAACGTCATAATCAGAGGACATACTGCAATCAATCATCTAATCACACATTAAAGAAAAAAAATTGTTTCAAGTATCTCCTTGATCCTGATTCCACTGTCCATGCAAGGTCCAATCCAGGAACACTCTTTCCATGAGTCATTTTATCTAAATTCATGTCAATAATCTATTGAAGACCATCAACACAGTAACAGCTCCAAGCTCTTGCTGCAGTTCTGCAGGATCAAAAACTGAAAGCCAAAGTATTGTGCAAAACTGGGCTGCCATGTGAAAGCTCCTAGTAGTTCATACTTCTAACAGGAAAACTCACTGAATTTTCAAATTCAATACTTCTACAGCATTCCTCTGAGAATTACAAAATTCAATGACAATATATGACCCTTCCTCTTTAGGAATGCAACATGCAGCTCTCTGCAGAGGACAGAAAATGTGTTTTCAGCAGTGCCTCTCAAGCACAGGAAAGAGAATTCATCTGTTTACTTTTTATAAATACACCAATGTATACATACTCCTCAGTAGTCTTAGATATACACAAACACATACATATCCTTCAGTAGCTCCACAAATATTCCATGGAATAAAATTCCATGATAATGTTCAAGTGAAGGCAACAAAGATATTGTGTGTGTCGCAGATTGTTACAGAAAGGGTGAGAAAATAAACACAAAAGTCTCAACCCGGGGTCTTCACATTCAAATGACGTTCAGTATAGCATCAGTTGTTGTCAGAAATAAACCAATGGAACTTTTATGTTTGCTTTTTGATGTGGATTTTTTTTGTTGTTTTGCTTGTTTGTGGGGTTGTTTGTTTGTTGTTGGAGGCATGGTTGTGGATTTTTTTTCTTTTTAGCTAAGTAGGAATGACTGAAGTCCTAAATTCAGCCAGGGAAATAGAGAGAGTGTCAGCAAGTGATCCTATTTCAACTAGCATGCTGAAAGGCCATGCCAAAGTCTGAATGTCATTTGGCACTAAGGGATAGGATGCAGGCAGACAGCCACAGGAAGAGGCCTGGCTGAGATGGCAGCATCAGCATAAGTGGATGCACAGCTGAGAACCCCCACTCGACAATGCATCCAGAGAAAGTTTATTTAAAAACAAACACACACACACCTTCTATCAATGTTTTCTCAGTGTTAGTACTGTAATAGCTCTATCCTCATTATGAAAATGCATTGGGGTTTCTCCAGTTCTCTGAGAAGAAGGATTTGAAGACAATCCTGAGGAGCAGATAAACATCAGGCTTACCTCCAAAATAACTTCTGGCACATTTGCCTAGATCTACAGATGTCTGGCAGAAAGGTTCCCTTTCCCTGAATGAAATATCTGCAATCAGCAGAATTGTTCCATCCTCAGCTCTATATTCAGGTTAGCCCTTGAACACTGACTTGAGATTTCCTGACCTCTTTTGGAAGGAGAGAAGGACACTTGATTATCAAAGTACTTCATCTATATCAAGTTAAAGAGAAAGGAATTCTGGCCATGGAATCAAGCAAGTAAAAAAGGGCTTTCTGGAGCTATCTAGTGTATGCACAGAGATGTGCATGTACACACACTATATTACTGAGTGTCTATGGATGTGTTTGTAGGTAGACCCCTTTGGGGGAGCACTCTCATGAGCAGGTGTTGAACCACAGGGAAAATGAATCAGGCTACAAAAGTCTCACTGGGCTCATCTTCAATCTTGTCATATGTTTTGTCATATCAGCATATAAGATTAATCATTCCAGAGAGACTTAAAAAGTTACTAACATTAAGTGACTCTATCTGCAATCACAGAGCTTATCTCCACAACTAGCATGAACCTTATAGTACAGGATATGCAAAAATCAGACTTTATAAAGGACAGATATTCCCTCTACATTTGCCTGGAAAATTATGCTGATTTCTCTGGTTCTTCTCTGAAGAAGGAAGTCTTTTCCATGATAAATAGGATTAATTGCTTTTCAAACTATACCTCATCTCACCTGATTCATGGCCATATCCTTTATAACTCCAGAAGAGTTAGAGACTTCTTAGTCACCTCACACTTTTCTTGATAATCAAAGTAAAAGGTGGAGTAGTCACTTTGCTGGATACCTTCACACCTTTCTTGATAATTAAAGTAAAAGGTGGAGTACTAGCAGCGAAACTACGTGCACAGGGACACTGTTATATTACACACAGCACTATCTAAGAGTAGTGCTGGCAAAAGTAACAATGCACACCCTTAACTGCTTGATAAGGTACATGGCAGAGACACTGTTGCATGGACCAGCCAACTGCAGATTAACAGGGCTCTGCTGCACCCAAACAGGTCCAGTACTTAGGCCTCATTGAATCTGAACTCCATATAATTATGTCATAAATCACACAAAGCTTGCTGCTCAGGTTCTTCTTCTAAATTAACATTTCTCCCTCATCATTTACAGAGATAGTGGCAGATTTCAAATAGTGACTCAAGAAATGCAGGCAATCTTTCTAAAAGCACTATGATAAAGACCAAAAAATTCCCTGGAAAACTCATATCCCTACAGTGTGGTCTATGATCAAACCTAAGAGTCAAACCAATGTGCTGGTATGCAGAAAATGTACCTTCAAACCCCAGCTTGTCACTGACCTTGAACACGTCATTTGGAGCAAACTGAACAGTCACTTACTCAACACAAGTTTTGGTGAGCCTGTCTGTAGAGTGAGATATTACTCATACATATCTCATCATCTGTAAAACAGGTATATTGCAGCTCTCCTGCCTTACAAAGTTTTGAAACGCATTTCTTCGTTCTTTGCACATGGCTCTGGGGTTCCTCAGGGGAAGAGAAAACACAGAATTGAAACTGAATCAAATTAGAGGCCCATCTAACTCAACACCCTGACTCCGGTGTTGGTAGATAGTGGCTACTGAGGTAAAGGCAGCAGGAAAATAAGAAGGACAATACTTCTCTTGGTATATTCTCCCAAGTCCCAGCATTGAGGAATAAATTAATTTCTTCAGCCTGCGTTTGCATTGGAGCCATTGTGTCCAGCTGCCATTGATGGAGCAATCCTTCGTGAATTTGCTAATTTCTTTTGAATGCATCTGTGCTTTTGGACTTCAAGAAGCACAAAAGAAGAAGAAAAGAAAAAGCTCAAAGCATTTCTGTCTATCATGTGGACAATGTAACATGCTGGGGAACCAGCATGTGACAAAATCACTGGGAATCATCTCCCTGCATACCAAGTACAAAGAACTGAAAAATAGTTTTGTGGTTTTCTCAGCCACTGCTGCTGTTGTATAAATCCTGAAGCTCGTAGCCCTCCCAGTCCTGAAGTGAAGAGTAAAGAAATACTGGAAACAGAGTTTCCCCTGGCAGAACAAAAGTGCCACAGAGCAGAGTGAAACAATGAAGCTGTTAAGTTCACAGTATGTGGTTTCTCTCAGCTTGCTTTGGCAACTCTTTGGCAACAATTTAGGCAAATATGAGGAATACATAGGTGGAGCTGTAAAACTTCTCACTCAAACTCCACGGAGGCATGCTTTCTGCTATGGTCCTTCAAGCATCTTTTTACAGAAGACCACAGGAAATAATAAATCATTGCTGTACTTCTCACTAGTACAAATAGCCATGGTCTAGAGACAGGATCAGGGGACTGAAAAAATATTAAGCTCTCTTAGATAAACAAAAAGTAATTCAGCAGTCATGCCTTAGCACATTTTCTCAGAGCAGAGGAAGTCAGTTTGTTCCACTATCCTCATAAAGCTGCAGGGAAAAAGCAAGGAAAACATCCTGGCTGTGGAGCAATCTCCAAAGAATTGAAGTACCATGGTGCTTGCTAGAATCCTGCCAGTGGGGCACCTCACTTGCTTTTTTAGCAAATGGAAACCTGCATAGAAAGATGCACTCAGAGAACAAGCAGTCGTGAGACCTATGTAAGTATGGCTCCTACCTGAAGCAGCTCTTCCTTTATCACATTCTGTGCCTCTGAGACTTTTCACAAACAACTCCTCTTAGCTCCCTTTGATCTGCCATCTTTGCTGCTGCTCTTCAGATCTATTCCTGCTCCAATTTAGTTCAATCTGCCCTGTGTGAAGCTTTCTTTTCCATGCAAATGACACAATTCCTAGGGTCTCCAGTAGATAGGGAAGTTTCATAATGGCTGGAGAAATGCGGAGGCACTGGTATGTCCTGGTAGCACCAGCAAAATCAGTGAGCCACTCAGGAAACAAAACTCTCTAGGAAATCTGCAGAAATTTGTGCTTAGCCTCACCTGGGAATGCTGGTTAGATAAGTGACCACATTGAGAAAATCGTCATCAGGTATCTCACTGAATCCTGCAAATTCTGGAAAGGTTATAATGGGTGCCCCATCCTTCCCTCTTCCTCCTGCAAAAGAGAAGCCATAAAGTTTAGAAGGTGATTTTATGCCTTTGGACAGAGTGGTCAGTACTCAAGTGGAAAACACTGGCATATTTCTCCTTGTAAAGCACCCACATCCAGTAATCGTCATCAGCTCCCATCTGATATAACTCACTGTAGTTTCATTACCTCCGTTTCCTCCAGATGAGATTCTACCCTTTGAGATTTTCAGCTTTTTCTTTAATCTTCTGAACAATTCTGAGGAAAAGTTTTTTTCATTCTATTTCCCATTTCTGAATAATTTCTTGTGATAATATTACAATATTTCTCTATGTATAGGTATAGTAGTCTCCAACTCCTTCTAGACATCAACTGAAATGAAGTAACAGAGTATACAAGCTTTGAATACACACATATAGCCCACAATACAAGCCTGGGACCAATCCAGGCTTAGGTCTTTCCTTAAAAATGCTCAAAGCGCATGGAGGAATTTTGTTTATCATGCTTATTTTCATCAAACCTCTATTAAACAGGACAGGAAACTGCAAAACTCATAAGCAATAAGGTTAAGAAGAGTCTCTTTATGAGGGATTCCCTGATCTAGACTCAGGTAGAGCTGCAGGAAGCATGGGGCCAAGCCCCTTGGAACCAAGCAGCCTTTACAGTTCTCCTCACACGATGCTCAGCTCCAAGAGCTGCTGTCGTCCATAGCACAAACCCTGTTTACTTGTAGCACCAATCCTAACTTGATTCCACTAATAAATCCAGACATTGCTCCAATCACACAGAAATTATGAGGGGTTTTCTCAACAGCTCGGGCTCAAAGCTGAGAGCAGACTGAGGAGGCAGCACTACATAAAAGAACACGATGAAACAAAGCTTTTGTTACAGGAACCTTACTGCTTAGTTCTCCTTAAACAGGGTATTAAGGATATGCTTTTCCCTGAGTCTTTTTCCTTCCTTTGTAAAATTTATGTAAATTTGTATTTTGCACCAGGCTCAGGAATTCTCTAACAACCCAGTACTGTGTGTAGTCCTGCTGTAGACACAGTTTTCTGAGTAATTTATCACACACAGAGGACTCTTGCCCAAGGGACAGCCAGATTCTGGGCTTCTCTTTAGTAAAGGGGAAGCTGTGAGACATTAAACTACCTTCCTCAGGAAAATATCGAATAAATTATCCCATTAGGAGATTGGGAGTGGAGGGGAAAAAAAAAACCAAACAAAAAAACCCAAACATTCTCATTCCTTGAAAGCATCCTATAAATCCCTACAAATAATCCCTGTTTCCAGGCTGCTCCCATCCATCATTACCTTTCCCTGTTGATAACCATAGCTGATGCCACAAACCAGTTTCTCCTGCTCCTGTTTTGGTGGTCATTCCAAGGAGGTGCTCCAGTATTTCCTGATTATTTCTCTGTAGAGTGGACAGATCCTTGCTAGTCCTGATCCTGCCTCTGCCTTATCCTCACAGCCTCAGTTAGATTATTTAAATTCCCTTCTGTGCTCTCTGGCCTTGGAGACCTGAAATGCTGAGGAATACAATGCTTGCACAAGGTAAAATTCAGAGTGCTAGAAAATTGGAATTTTGAACAAGGAAAGCCTTTTTCTTCTTGACATCTAGTGACATGGTATCAACACACTACCTTTAGCCCCTCTTTTCCTTCCTGAAGGCTGATTATTGCTTCGATTACATCCAAAATTGACTCAGTTGTGTTAGAACATTCACTAAACTCACCTTGCTAGGGAGAAAACAGGCCTAGAGACACAAAAGTCTCTCAGCCAAGAGGGAAAGCAAGAAAGCCATCATTCACACTGCACTGGATTGGATTTCAAATGTTGAGCAGAGCCACAGCCTCCACACTGGCCTCCCCACTGGCCTTGGGGTGATGCTAAATGCTGATGCATGGCAGCTGGATCTCCAGATGCACTGTCTGCAGTCAGCAGTGATGGAGAATATGCTGTCATGCAAATTTAGTCAGGCTTTCTCCAGACTGCTGCACTCTAGACCAGGAACTGCAACCAGCAGGTACCCAGTTAGGCTGGTTTGTTACAGACTCTCAGTGACATCTCCTGGACACAAACAGTAACAGCCAGGAAAATTTAATACCAAATTTGTCTGCTGTTTCTTTGTGCAGAGCTCAGTGTATGCCAAGGTATTTCATACCTGGTATCTTGTGAACATTCATAGGATTTCTGGACACCAAACTTTCCCATTCATACATTTCAAATATGCAAATATACTTTAAATGAAGGAGATGTAGTAACTTGGAATATTTTAGTTTAAAGCATTAATATTTGCCATTGGAGGATAAGATAGAGATTCCCCTGGAACCCTTCCTTCAACACCTGATAGTTTAGCTGCAGTTATACTCAAGTTTCAAATGGTAATTCTAATGCTCCTGGTGACCAGGTGTGTTGGTTTGAAAGTAAAACCAGTGCGAGACTCCAAGTCAGTAATACAATTTAATAGGAGAAAAGAGAAAAAAATAAAATACATGCAATAATATAAAAGAAACAACCACCAACACAGTCAGAAATACAACCTGACACCCTGTCAGTCAGGGTGTTGGTAGCAGTCCGTATAAATGGTGGCTGCAGTCCTCCTGGATGACAGATGTGGTTCTGTTGAAGCAGTGCTCCTGTAGAAGGTGCAGTTTTCCTCCGAAGATCCAGCGATGATGTGGAAAAAGGTCCGACTTTCCTCTGGGATCCAGTAGAAAGGTCTGCCCTCGGGTCCCAAACCCCAGTTTTTTATCTAGGTAGGAAAGGCTTGGCTCCTGCCCCTGGTTGGGGCATCTCCCAATGGGGTGATGTAATCTTATCAGTCACACAATAGGACTTAATGGCCCATTAACAGAATATATCTTCTGGAGGAGGGATGGGTTGTGAATAGATAACGATGATCATCCCCCCATCTTATCAGATGGCACATCAGCAGAGGATATCTCCCACAGAGATAAGGATCACCACCCCTCCCACATTTTAACAGATGGTGATAGAATACACATTTTTGCATTGTACCCCAGGACACCAGGATCTATTTGTGCCCCTTTTATTTCATCTCTTGCATCTCCATTTGCACATGTGCTCTTCTTCCCCTGGCCTCTTCCCTGAGCTGGATGAGGCAGGCTGATGATGCACTCTATATAAGTGGGTGTGTATTTTTGTCATGGGATCTTCTCCTATAAAAAGTCATCCAAAGAATGCATGTAAGCAGACTGAACACTGACTTCTTCCTTTAACCACTGGCAACAAATCTAGGACACTCAGGAGCAGCCTCAGACTGAACATTCAACAAAGAGTCAGCAACTCTTCCCTCTGACTAAGCCATAGGCCTTTAACAGCTCCTGATCTCCATCTCATTCTCCAATGTGAAGGCAACACTTCCTGCTGCAACCACACCAGAACCCTCAGATGGTTCAGCAGGGCTGTATTTTAGACAGGGAAATAAACAAGGAAACCTTCTGTTCCTGCCACACCAGGAAATTAGGGGGAAGTTTGAGGGAGTGTGGCATTCAGAAATTGTTAAGTACTATGATGAGAAGAGAGCAGAAATGTCTGAAGTGTTGACTGACAAGCAATACCACAAATATGTTATGAATGGGTTTTTCCTGCCCATATCTGAACTTCGAGCAGTAGTTGAGTTTAAAGGAAAATGATCCATATCTACTTGGATAAGGGATATAAGGGAAGTTCCTTAAATACCAAGGATGTCTGGAAAACTCTCTCCTCTGTATGAGACAGCAATTCCATACATCTAAATGTTAATGCCATTTTTTTCCCTGACACTAACCCAAGAATTGCTGCAGTATGCAAATTTCTGCAGAATGTGAATTGACAAGCTGCAGCCTTTTTTTTCCTTGGCCGTCAACCTTTCTTTCTAGGGAGTTGCTACAAGATTTCTTCCAGTCCTTGAAAAACTTCAGCTAGATGTTACTCAATATCTTGAAAGAGCAGAGAGCACAAACTAAAAGCCAATAAGGATAGTCTTCAGTCAGTCTCATAGCCATAAGGACTGAGTACATGGAATTTGGCTCCAAGAACTCTCTGTATACCCTCCTTGTGCTTGCTGGGACTGTGCATAATCCCTACACTCCTGGGCATCACTTGTGAGAAGAGTCCAATTGCCACGTAGAAGAGTTTATAGCCCATCATAAGTAAGGCAGATAGGGACAGAACAAGCTCCAGCAGCTCCACAGAACACCAGAATGAAAAAGCAGTCCTCAAGAGGAAAAAAAAAAAAAAAAGATACTATCAAGAAAGTGAAAGCATGAAGGGGGAAACAGAAGTGCTGAAGAGAGTGAAGCAATGAGCAGAGAGGTGAGAGGAGTAGTTACCTTAGAGCTGCCAGAGCACTCTGTGCTGTTCAGCAGTGCCTGCACAGCTGGGCAAGGAACCCGAGGACTGTCAGGAGTAGAGCTCTTGAGGCATGAGCTGAGCTAAGGAGCTCCAAGGGAGAAGCAAGCAATACCTTGAGGTTAGTGCAGTCAGAGGCAAAAACAAAGACACACTGAAAAATAGGCATCAGGAGCATGGCTGTGCCTGGCAGTGTTTCCTCTGACTTCCAGCTCTTCCAAGCACCATTAGATGCCACCCTGCAGCATTCTCCAAGCACCACAACCACCCCCAGCACCTCTTGGCAGTTCCAAATGCTGGTGCCCAGCCAGGGAACCAGCAGCTGGTGGCAGTGACCATTGGAAGCCAGGAAAGCTGGAGGTTCAGCTGGCAGCAGGGAAGGTTCAGGCTGTCCTGCAGCTGAATTAACATGAGAGTCACTCCTGACCCTGCCTTAGGGCATCCAGGCTATCCCACAGCAGCCTCCTGTGGTTGGGTCACTGCTCCCCAGTCACACCCCAGGCTGCTCCATCATAAGCAGACACAGAATTTTGCCTGCAGAGGAAACCCAACCTGAGAGCAACAAGCTGGAGCACAACTGATGCAAAAAACAACAGGATTTAGAAGAGCTCAGGGCTGAATTTCCTGGTGAAAGGCAAGACTTCCAAGGAAAATATTACTTGACCTTC